TACCGGACAGGACGTTTGGCTGGTTCCGGGTCGAGGGCAGTGACCACCCCCACGACAGAGCCCACGTGGGCGTCCTCCTGGACCTCCATCAGGCTGGAGGGCGGGCGGAACTCGGGCGGCTCGTCCACGTCCAGCACCGACACTCGCACGATGGTCTGGTCCCGGAAGGTGCCCAGGTCCACGAACCGCGGGTCCACAAACTTGTTGAGGGCCTCCACCACGACAGTGTGCACTTTCTTCGACTCATAGTCGAGAGGCTGGGACAACAGGAGAGGGTTAGGCACACCCTGCCCAAGGGAGCCCCCGCCGCCCCTTCCTTCACTGGAGACATCGGGGACACTAAAGTCACCGGCTCCCCAGGCGGTGCCTCTGAGGGGTCTGGGAGCTCGTGCCCTGCCATCCCACCAGCAGCACCGACACCGAGGGGAGCAGGAGGAAGAGGAGCCTCCAACACGCTCCCCCCAGGGCCCCCAGCAGGGTGTCCGGGCTGCAGAAGGTGTGGGCAGGCAGGATTCACTGGGAAGACAGCAGTGTGTGCTGCAAGCGAGTGGGTTTTGATCATTAATCACCCTGCTGTTATTGCTACAGGGGAGGCGAGCTGAAAGCAGCAGCCTTGGTGAACAATCATTTTTTCTTGCCCACATCAAGTGTTTGCTTGATTGTTTTTGCCACCAAAAGCAGATACAGTCAAAGAGCTGCTGGTCAAGTACAGGAATTAGGTGGCATATTTCTCCCCTAACAGGTGCCATCAATAACAGCCGTAAGCACTTGCAAGTGCCGGGCAGGGCCCAGCCAGCACTGCACTGCTGTGCCTTCCCAGCCTTTCCTCCCACACACAGGTCTGTGTTTTGCCATCCAGGCAGAACAGCAGCAGAACCCTCCCCTCACCTGCAGGCAGACATGCAACTGCTACGCCTAGAGCAGTGCTCAGAGGAGCAGCAGCAGGAGTTCCCAAAGACCTCCTAGAGACCTGTGCCCTCCCTAACCAACCAGCTTTCCTCATCTCTCACCTTCTGTACCGTGATGACAGCCTCTTGGGTATTGCTGTCTGTGGTGACTTTGAACATCTCCACCCCTTCCTCATCCTTCACCTGATAGGTCATGTCCGTGTTCTCCCCGACGTCCGAGTCCTCTGCCCTCACCCTCCCGATGGCAGTGCCCACGGGCGCCGTCTCAGCAACGCTGAACTGATACATCTCTGGAGGAGAAAAAGGTACTGGGCCAATGCTTCTGCCTTTGAACCCCCTCCAGCCTGAGACAGCCTTTTGCACACCTCCCTGGGGACACTCCTGGACTACGAGGCTGCCCGAACTCTGCCAGTGTCTATAGCCCAGAATGCCCTATAAGGAGAAACACATGCCCCAGCCAAAACCAAGGGCTGAGGGAAGATCATCGGGGAGCACTGGTGCTTCAGGGTGCCCGGTGAAGTAAGGGCTGATTTCTCTGTACGGACGCTGCCCTGCAATCAGTGTTCTCTGAGGCTCTGTAGACTTCACCATTTCTTATTTCTAGGAGATGCAGCCAAAGACCTGAGCCTCCTCCAGCTGCAGCACCTTTTCCAGTCTGCCAGCTATGTGCTGCCAGCTTCTGAAGCTGGTGTGCACTGTGGAGATTGCACAGTTTCTCTTTGCAGCAGGATCATCCACCCTGCTCGTTTGGGGAGGGCCCCAGATCAGGCACAAGTGTGAATCACAGGCCAGTAGTGGTGACTCAGAAAACAGAGCTGTCCTGTGACAATGCTGCTCTCTGTGAGGTGGGCAGTCCCAACATGCCCCATGTTGGGGCAGAGCATGCCAAAGGCTGACACAGCAGCCAGGACAGTCCAGACTAGCAGCTGATGGCCAAGTCCCCTCCCAAGCTCCCAGAGGACAGCAGCATGGCAGACCAGGCTGCTCTCCCTTAGCACTGCTCAGAGAGGGGGTCAAGAAAGCACAAGCTCTGCTCTCCCCACCACACAGCCCTGCTCACTCACAGGCCTAGCACCAGGAGCAGGGATCGTGTCTGGGGTCCTGGGCAGGCTCAGCCAAGGCAGCTGTCCCTCCCTCACGCCGCCAGGCAGGGATGCATGCAGACACAGGCAAGGAGCTGTGCACGTCGTGGTACCTTGGTGCTGCCACTCTGCCACCAGCACGAGCAGCTGGGCGAGCTCACTCTGCAGATGTGCCAGGCTGTGCTGGGAGCTGAGCCTCTGTCCCACCAGCCACAAGGGGCCAGGACCAGGACAGGGCTCAGGACTTACTCTGAGGGAAGCGTGGTGGGTTGTCATTGACGTCAGTGACTACGATGGTGACTGTGGTGGATCCAGACAGGCCCCCCAGCTGCCCTGCCATGTCTGTGGCGCGGATCACCACCTCATAGCGGTCCTGTGTCTCTCGGTCCAGGTCAGCCACGGCCGTCCGGATCACACCTGGAAAGACAGCGTGAGCACAGGCAGCTTGCAGAGCACCTGCGGGGTCACAGGCGGGGGAGGCTGGAGGGGGCTGCTGGAGATTACTCCGTCCCAACCCCAACTCTAAACGGGATCAGCTAGATCCCCCAACCTCTCCACATATGGCAGATGCTCCAATACTTCACTAGTCTTCATGGCCCTTCCCTGGCCTCACTCCAGCATGCCCATGTCTCTCTTGCATTTGGCAGCCCAGAACCAGGCTCGGCACTCAGGTCATCTCACCAGTGCCGAGCAGAAGGGACAGGTCACTTCCCTCGACCACTGGTGATGCTCTTCCTGACGCAGCCCTACGTGCTGTTGGCCACCTTTGCCGTGGGAGCCCAGCGCTGGCAACAGCCACCAGCATCTGCTGGGCCCTGGTGCAAAGGGGAGCAAACTCTTTTGCAGCCTTCACAGAGATGACATAAGCAAAAGCCAGCTGAGGGGGGAAAAGGGCTCTGGAGAGAAGAACCAACCCAGCGGGTTGCCTGCCAGGCAGACATGTCCTGAGAATCCCCCCGACGCCCAGGAACAGCCACAGGCCCAACCCCATCACAGCAAGTCCCTGCAGCCGATTCACAGGCTGCAGCACCGATTCACAGGCTGCAGCAGCACCCACAGGGTTAAACTCCAGCTCAGGGGAGGTTTGTACTTCTCTTCAGGGAGGTCAGGAGACAGGTTAAGGCTTTGTGGGGGCTGGAGGAGTCACCCAGGTTCGGGGGCCTCCAGGTTTGCACAGAGAGGCTCCCCAGAAGCTGGGGCTGAGTGAGGAGAGCCCTTGGCACAGAGCCGCCACTCCTGCACAACAGGGGAGCTGCGGGGCCCGGGCCCCACCCCACGCCAGCCTCGGGGCTCAAGTGTTCCTGGAGGGCCCCCGTTTGATTTGGGGGGGTGGGGATGGGGGCACCGTATTTCCAAAAGTCTGTGTGCACACGCCCCCTCATTTTCAGGCGTCCCTCTGCGTTAAGGAGCCCGGGGATGACAGAGACGCCCCAGTCGGGCTGGGAATGCGCCGGGGTCCCTAACACCCCACAAACACAGTGCCGCTGCGGGGGAGCCTTTTGTGAAATGAAGTCTCTTAAAAACAAGTGTTTATACATCTTCCATAGTCATCTGGGCTTGGGGGAAATGACCAGGATTAAAAAAATAAAGGAATGTAAACGGAGAGACAAAGTAGTAAACCCCAGAAAACACGGTGAATGGCAGAGGATGCAACTTCTTCAGTCACCCAGGAGTGTTTAATCTACATAGAAACAAAGCAGAGAACAACGAAAGAAATTACTCTGCCCTGAGGTGGCACCAGGGGCACGCCTGCATACATGGACAAGGTTATTAGCGGCACATTTCCAGTCCCACTATACCAGCAACACCCCACAATAACCATGAATCTGCTTGAAATCCCCTCCAGCTCAATTTCTTAACATTCCCACAGATTTAGACATTATGGTGTTTTTTCTTTTTTGTAATTGCTCTCTTCCAGGCTTTTCTGTTTAACTATTAGCCTTACCTCCTCCTACTGTGAACTGCAAAATCCATCTTTGGTTCGTTTCACCAGTAACTCTGGCTGGTGTTAGGGAGGATGCTGGAGGGGAGTTGCTTGGCTGTGTGGTGGGGGTCCCCAGTGAGAGCATCTGACCTGGAGGGAGCGAGGAGTTCCCCCCGTGCCATGCAAGCAGCAGAATCCAGCCAGTTGCTCTCAGCAGCTTGCAAGGCACTTGCTGCCATGCCGAAGTGCGCAGTGGCAGAGCACCTGCCATCCCAGACAGCCTCGGGGCAGACACTCACGGGAAGCTTCCAACAAAACCTGAGTGCAGTGGAGGGCAGAGCTGAGTGCCAGCAGGCTCCAAGGAGACGAGGTGTGGCGTCAGGGACATGCCTCGAGGCTTCCAGGCATCAGCCCTCCACAGCCAGCAGGTTGCCAGTGTCCCTGTTCATGTGTCTGGCACGACCTCGTGCACCTCCTGACACTGGCTGTTGGTGGATGGCTCCAGGAAGGAACCACTGGTGCTGTGGCCTGAAGACAGTCAGAAATGCAACTGAGCTGGGAGGATGAAATTACACACACACACACCCTGCATGACGTTACAGGTGCAGCAGGAGCTGGCAACACTGTTCAGGAGACATTTCTCTCTCCTTGCTTTCAAAACTAGCGATTATTCCAACGATTACCATTGTTAGGATTCATTATAAGGTTATAGCCACTGTTTCAGATCCCTGCACTTCCCCAGCTCTCACGGATAGGCACAATTTCACCCAGCTTCACTTGTCCCTCTGTCATTTCAGTTCTGTAATTACCTGGGCTCCCACTGCCGTCAGCCCCATGAATCAAGAGGAGCCTCTGTGTGTCTCACCATTTCCCAAGCACTCGCAGCACCTGCCCGTTTACACACTCGGGTAACTCTCAGCCCTTCTGTGGCTTGATCACCAAGGGCCACGCTCCCAGCCAGCAAAAGGGTGAGATGCAGCACAGAGCACTGCAGAGTTCCTGCTAGAGAGCATCCCAACCCCTCCACAAAAAGGCAGCAGGTGCCTACCCTGTGATGGGGCTCAGGGTCTGCACCGGCCCCCTCCTTCATGCTGGCTCTGTTCAGAGTGATAGAACAAAGCGGGGAATGTGTCTTCACAGCAGGGAGTGGGGGGAAAACACTGTGGAGAGACACAATCACCAGTGCTCCAAGGTGACAGTCTGGCCACGTCACATACAGAAAGAACCAAACTAGAAGAACCAGAGGACTTGAAGGAATTTAAACAAACCTAGATATCTACCCCAAGAAATTTACATAGCCTAAACCTCTGAACTTTAGGAACTAGTACACACGTTTAATGAACTTACACATAGTAACTTCTCCTCCCAGGGGAGGCATAAAATGAAGTTAGTCAGACAATGTATGGTGAGAAGGGGGGTACATGTTGAGGGGGATATGCAGTAGGGGTACCGGGCAGTCTGTACACTCTGAGTACCTCAGCCAGTGGGGAAAGGAGGAGGGAAATTTGCAGCTGGGAAATTAGGATAAGAATGGGGCTGTGTCCCCAGCCAAACTGAGAGACCCCCCCGGGATCTGCCCGTGGACTCTCCCTTTAGTTGAATAAAGTGTATTTTACAGGACTCCTCTGTCTCCTATTGGAACATCGACCTCTGGCAACGGCATTTTCCACACCATAGGAATCCCTCCGGGCAGGGGGCTGGCCCCGTGGCACCCAGAGGTGCTGGGGGGCAGTGCCAGGGGGTGAGGACGGCCGGAGAGCAGGGGGGATGGGCCCTGGCCCGCCCTGCCCACGGGCCTCTCCTGCCACCTCCCTGGCAACACAACGCCATTCTTTCTGGGCAAGCACTATCTCATTGAAGTTTAAGCAATTCTGTTAATTAACGGGGTCTGAAGCATTTTATAATGAAAATGATTCATGTCAGCACAATAGTGATGAATTGGGATGAGAGGAAAAAAGCTCAGGCATTCAGCAAGGCTGTAATGACTTAACTGAGCTGCTCGTAATGATATAGCTCATAATACGCCATGCAAGATGGGAGGAAAGTGCTCAGGCACTTCCCAGAACACCTCCAAGGTCACCCATCCCAGTGGGGAGCAAGTCCAGGCCATTTGGCATGTGCACAGTAGGGCAGACAAACAGCCCTGCCGGCTCTGGCAGACAAAATCCTTGTCCTTGGAGGAGGGTGCAGACTGTGAGCAGAAACGACCTCCTGCCAAGATGCTACTTGTCCTGTCCATCCTGGAAAAGTGGGGGTCTTGATGCAGACGAACTGCCCACGTCCCAGGAGCCCCAGCAGGACTGTCACTGAGAAAGCTGTTCCCCCTAAAGTCACATGGGACACACCAGGCTGCTACTTCAAGTTTCAGGCTGGTTTTGTCTTGCAGGCTGCGGTACCACTTAGCATTTGATAGTGGCCTTGACAAATCAGAGCCTCAAAAAATACTCGACACTGATTCCTTAAATATGGCACTAGGAGTGCTGCCTTAAACCCCCATCAACAGCAAACTTGCATGGTCCCATTTCCTAGCACCAGGCTAGTCTTTGCTCCCAAAACCCGACCCCAAGGGGCTCTGCAAAAGCAGCGGCAAGTGATGGCAGCAGACTTGTTTCCAGGGCAGAGACAGAAGAGGCACAGACCTCTGCTGCTGTATGTAGAACGTGGAAAAGTCCTCACTGCCACCTCCCAAGATTTACCTTCCTTCCAGCCAGAACAGCTGCCAAACTTTGTCCTTTCCAGACACTGCTAACAAAGCAAGAACAACCTCCAGCTCAGACTCATCTCCCTAGTTCTTGTCAGCATCTGTTACAGTTGAATTATACAGATGCGTGGTGGCATACCCTCTGGTACAAGGCACATGTGGCTTTCCAGCATGATCCAGATTAATCAGGATAATTACCAGGCAAGGGGACACTTACAGCATCACGAAAATACCATCAAATCTGCTCAAACAGCAGATACTCTTTGGGTCATAAACAATGCAGGACAAAGCACTCAGCAGGTAACTGCCTTCCAGGAATCCCATCACTATGGGCTTTGCTCTGCTCTCAAATGGTTCTCACTCAGATGTCCATATCCTTGGAGACCCTCTGGACAAGGCAGCTTCCAGCTGAGGGCAGACAGGAGCAATATGTTCCCTGCCCAAAGTGCAGAGCCAGGAAGTCATGCAGTAATGTGCATGGACACATCCTCAGGAGGTCCCTAATTCTACTGCAGCTCAAAGCAGGCTGTCTTTGAAGGCAGGTGAGATTATTCAGAGTCACGTTCAGTCAGTATCTCCAAGGATGGAGATGCCACCTTCATGGTGACAATCTTTCTCGTCTTGCCATTTGTTCTTTTTACTGTGCATGCCTTAGAAGGGTCTGGATCTGTCTTCTCTGTTCCCTCCTATCTAGCTGGATATAACACATTCACTCCTTCCAGCAACTTGGTCTGTTAAAGCAAACATCTTTACCTCAGCTCAGGGGTAGCAAGGCACCTGCCAAAGAGACCA